TTTAATCAATCTCTACACCCAACACAGGGCTCGAACTCACGACACCAAGATCAAGAGTCTCACACTCCACCGACTGAGCCAGCCAGGTACCCTATTACACAAATGTATTTAATGGGAAATGTTTGAGGGTTTTGCTTAAGAAAAACAAACCCTCAATACGTCATATGCATCTGTAAGGTAAGTAACCATTCCAATAATCATTTTGCTGTAATGAAGAGGGTCCAGGAAAGTAACAAACCAGCTGTTTCAGTACGGTCTCTAAAAATCACGTACTGAAGCTTTCTGGTCCATGCACTCATCCATCTAGAAGGTACCAGCTCTACGCCAGGCACTGGAGACGGAGAGACTGAGCAAGGTGGATACAGGCCCTAAGTCGGCAATTCCACAAAGTCAGAGGGCTTCATGATGGGGAGCAAACGGCAGGAGTGGGGCTGCGGAGGATGCCAACCAGCGCTGGGGCTACAGGAGATCTCAAACCAGAAGGTGAGCAAAAGTGGGTCAGGCCTCAGACAGGCAGCAGGATTCCAAGCAAAGCAAAACCCACATTAAGGCTCAAGGCTGCGCCTACCCCCTCTGCGGAATGCTAAAAATCTCACCTAATGTATTTTTAAAGGTCCCTTTTGTCTAGACCATTCTCACAGAGGTGTAAGGACGACCCCTAAAACAATCAGAGTGTATCACTGTGTAGTAACTTTGTTTCTCTAACTATATGGTCTTCCCTTACCACTATGAGCCAGCAGAGCCCTAATTTAAAATCCCCAAGAGAAACTTCATTACTGCCACGGCAGCCTCACTGTTCCCTCACTGCCTCTGCTGGACCCAGGCACTGAAAAGCAGCTCATTTATGGCAAAATAATCAAGTTACCAAGGACCACCTTAATAATTTTGCACAGCCAGCAAAACAAAAGCTGTTTCTAATTTACAGACTCATCAATATCACGATCTATCTTTCAAGTGTTTAAAAACACATCTCTATAGATCTGAGTCGACAAATCCAGTCAGGAGGTGCAAATGCTTAAAATGTGTCCCTCTTCCTGACTGCAGTGGACCACACCCTCCTGGGTATGACTAATTAATTACTCAGTGATTGATGCATTCCCTCTTCTACAGCCCAGAGGGCTGGCTTACAGAACCTCCCAGGTCCAAGTGGCTAACTTCATCAACCCATAAGACCATGCCCCACTGTCTTCTTGTTTTGTTTTGTTTTTTGACATTGAGCTAATTTAAAGTGGGAATTCTTCCTATTTTAAAAGGTTTTCTTTTGTTCGTTCTTTCTTTCTTTTTTTAACACATTATACTTTTGGCATAGCTGGTTGCCAGGCAGAGAGGAAGGTTTAGAGGCTCCTGAGACCATGAAAAGCACCTGCATCTGGATGGTGCCCAGGTCCCTGGAGTGACCCTGGGGAGGAGGCTGGGAAAATGGAAGGGAATTGTCGGGGGCCAGGCGTTGGGGCACAGTAACTTCGGGTAACACAAGAAAAGCCAGAGACCCCATATCCTAACAAAGGATGAAGGGCAGGGCTGGGCAAGAGAACTGAGGGTCTCGCCTCATCACCAGGGGTGCTCCGAGCACAAGGAGACTTCCCAGAAGAGGTGGACGGGGACGCAGACCATGTCAGAGGACAAGAAACCGAATGCGCGCAGGGGCCAGCCAGGTAACCACGTGCATCTGAACAAAGAGCAACCGATGATGGGTGACCCGTGCGGGAGACTGTGACGGACTTTCCAGCCACTCCTAAGACACTTTAACTCACCTCTGAAAACAAACTCCATTAGTGAAACAAAAAGCTCACAGGTGGGGTCTGACCTCCGGGAGAATGAGAGCGCAGGGAGACCTCAGATGGCCCAACTCTCTCATCATACAAGGAGGAAAACTTTAACAGCTCTTTTGAATGTTTACCATGTGCTAGAAACCACTCTTAGGAGCCCGTTAGATGTGCCAGTTCCATCAGTTCTCACAACAACCCTATTTCCAACCCCATTTTAGAGAAAACGAAACGGAGTCCCAGAAAGGTTATATAATTTGTCCAAGCTCACACGGCTAGGGACTGGGGAGCTACGACTCCGAGCCAGGCAGCCCAGCCCTTATATGCAAGGTGGCACTGGACTCTCGCTGAACGTGGAATTCAGCATGCCTGGCTTGTAGCCTAACATGAGTCAAGGTAATGAATGGATGCTCTGGTCTTGAGATTTATTGCTAGACCACAAATACTGGAGTCAAGGAATGCAGACCGAAGAAGTCCTAAATAAAAAGCTTCTCTATTAAGTGCAAAGTTTAAAAAGAGAGAAAGCACACAGGCTGGTAATCGTGGCCCCCTGCTCAGGGGTATTCTTTCAGCAGGGGGGTGTACGCTCAGGGTTTGGGGCATAAAACCAAGTGCTTTCTGTATTTACATCTGCCAAAACCAATTCAGATCCTTCCTAAAGTATGACCGAGCTCCTCTTCCAGGACTGTTGGGAAACTGCTTGCTGAGCCAACAAACTAATGAAAATCCTGGGAACGCTGCCCCTCCCAGTTCTCCACCCCTCCTGCCTCATCACCTCTATTCTGCTCCTCCTACTTGGCACATCCCTGGTTTAACTGGGGTAGAGTGAGATCAAGGCCATGTCTACCTGCGACAGAACTTCAGACACTAGCCCATTGTTTCCCTTGTGATCCCGTCTAACCGGCAAATCCACAGAGTCCTACAGCCAGGTCAGGCCAGGACCATGATAGAGGACAGTGATTTAGCAGGTCCACGGGGCAGGGCTAGCTCTGGGCCTTACCCCAGCAGGAGTCAGTCAAGTGGCCCTCCGGCAGGCCCCAATCCCTCCCATTCCCCTGTGTGCATGTGTGCTCATTTCTGAACCCGCAGACGCAGCCTTATGAGTGGGGATGGGAAGAGTAGCACATTTTGAGCTGTTCATTGTAAGGTTCTGGGAGAGTCATCAGTTCTGGAGACTTTCAGAGTATAGCTCGTTTCAAATGAGTTCTGCACGTTGCCTGTCTGCTTTGCCCCCCCCCCCCATCCATCAGGCACAAAGAGGGACCCTCCTCAAGCAGCACTAATATTAGTGACAAATATGAGTGATCACACTGAAAAGTAATTAAGATCCCACCGGGAAGTGGCAAGTGTTGAGCACACCAGAATGTCTAGGAATGAAACATGTTCTCCTCAGCTCCCTCAGTGAAAAACCGAAGCCTCTGGGAGAGGCTAAACCACCATTCCTAACCCCCATCAGCATGGTGTCAGAGCAGAGACTAGATGGACCGCCACCTAGTGGTTGCCCAGAGTGACACACCAGCTCACTCAATTCTTACCTCCCTCTAAGCTTCAGATAGAAACCATCTTTCCCAAAGTTTCCAAGTTCTTACTTAAAACAGCCTCGGGTTACAACCAACAAATCAAAGGCAGGAGACAGGAGTGAGAAGGCCCAAGTTTGCTCCCAGTTTAGTTGAGTGTGCTGCCAGGTATCCCTAGGGCGGTGCTCAGGAACCCCAAGTCTTTACTCCTCCACTGGGATGGGGGCTGAGTAACCCCCTCCAAAGGCAAGCATCCCCAAGACACCGGGAAAATGGCGAGGGTGGAAGGCCATGTCTATCTCACGTGCCATACATTATTCCAAGGGACAAAACTGAAGTAGAAAGAGTTAGTGGGAAAGCAGTCAGCTCTCTAATCACTGGGCATTTAAATCATTAAGCCCTGGAAGTTGCTGATAAGTCAAGCTGGGCTCACACTGACAGCCCCACCCTGCCCCGATTACTGTCCTCCGGCTGGGCGGCTGGTCTGCGTAACATCCTGGCTGCAGCCTGGGGATGGGCCGGTGCCTTGGGCGCTCCGGCAGAAGGGGCTGGTGGGAAAAACCCTTAGTGCCAGGCACATTCACATTCCTAGTCACTGGATGGGAATAAAGGGGTTGGTTTGTTTATGCAATTAAGAGCTGCTCTTTGGGGCACCTGGGGGGCTCAGTGGGTTAAGCATCAGACTTTGGCTCAGGTCATGATCTTGTGGTTTGTTGAGTTCGAGCCCCGCATCGGGCTCTGTGCTGACAGCTCAGAGCCTTGAGCCTGCTTTGGATTCTGTGTCTCCCTCTCTCTCTGCCCCTCCCCTGCTGGCACTCCGTCTCTTTCTCAAAAATAAACATAAAAGAATAAAGGTTGCTCTCTGAAGACTCAGATGAGGTTCTGATAAAGGTGGCAGTCAGCAGTGCTTGGTAAATCCACATCTCCCTTCTCTGCAGGAATACGAGGTTTTGTGAATCTCTCATGGTGATTCCATCACAGTAACTGAGCTGCTTAAAGACACTAAAGTGTGCCACTTGAGACTCTCCATCTTGAAAGAGAGTCAAGGAGAACTCCCTGGGAACTGGAGCTGCTGGGCCTGTGGAGGGCCTCCTGAGACTTACGAGGGGAGAGAAGAGAGGAGCCGGCAGCCGTGCTCAGCCGGGACAGGGAAGCCACTCCTGGAAGCCGGATCTTGGGAAGAGGCAGCTCCCAGCCTCGTCCCACCCCGGAGCCTCCCTCCCATCACAGCTGGGACAAGAGCAGCAGGCTAACCTGGAATCATGTTCAGACATGGAGCCACAATGAAATGTGTCCCCCATACCCAGCATCTGAGGGCAACACCTTCCCTTTGGTGTGGCCGGGCTGCCTGCCTGTGGTCTGCCTAAGATGAAGGAGGAAGAAGGCAGTGAGGAGGAAGAAAAGCAAAGCAAATTACCGTTCCCCACACACGGTGCTGGCTCCTCGGTGACTGTTTATTACACTGAATCAGGCAGGTCAAGGCCAGGAGAGGCATTTTTCTTCCACCAATAGCAAAGGGATCAGCTGGAGGCCCGAACAGGGTCACCACCATCCACGGCAGAGTAAAGGATGAGCCAATCCCACCCAACGACTCAGACTGGCGAGGGCAGCCGGGTCCAACCAGGAGAGGAGACGGCTTGGGAGGGGCAGGGGGGTGGGTCTTGCAGGAATGGGCTGGAAGGAATAATGGCCAAAAAGCTGAACGCGATCCGTTCTCAGAACTCTGAGCACAACTCCCCCGGGAAGCTGGCTTCTATAGGCTGCATGACATGGTAACAAGTCAAGACTCAGGGTCGGAGAGGCCTGAGCCAGCACTACCAGCTCTGTGACCCTCGGGGGTTCGTGTACCCTCTCTCAACAAAGTTGGTCATCTCTTTCATAGGAATGTCGTGAGAACAAACGAGTTTGGAAGAAGACCAGAAGACTCTACCTCACCATGTAAATGGAGGTTGGCATCTATGCCGGAAAGGCAGACATAGCAGGCCCAAGGCTGCTATCTTTAGAAGGGCCTGCTTGAAAGGTGTGCCCTCCGCTGGCACCTGGGAACTTGACTCTCAGAGCGTTCCCAGTCAACAGTGAACTGTGGTCTGCTGTGCCTAGACTATCTGCGCAAATAATATGATAAAGTGAGTATCTGCTTTCCTTCTAGGATTCAGGAATTTTGGTACGTGTCAAGCAGAGGGTGCCGATGTGACCAGCCCCAGTGAAAATCTTGGGGGCCGGATCTCTAATGGGCTTTCGTGGACAGAATCATCACGCACGTTGCCACATTTCCATTGCATCACGCACGTTGCCACATTTCCGTTGCTATGATGAATCTCAGCTGTGAGTACAAATATATGCTAAGTCCTGGGGGTCCTTCCAGCAAATCTCCAAATATTGGGGACTCCAATACAGAACCAACATTATATACCTGCACCCAGCATAACTAACAGAGCCTCCCCCACCTCAAGAAAGCCTGCCATCACCACCTAGTTAAAAGCGACATTATAGACAGAAGATGGGACTGCACCAGCAGCCCAGGCTTAAAAAGCTCCGGGGGCCAAGAAAACGGAGGCAACAGGGGGCAAGAAGAACACTCACTGAAAGCCCACTAGGAGCCAGTCACGGTGCTGGCGCTCACTCTGCCTTAGTTCACTCCATCATCACAACAGTATTATTACCCCTAGATAAAGTGACTTAGGCACGGAGAGACCAAGCAACCAGCCTGAGATCACACAGCTGGCCAGAGAAGGCTGGCTGGCTGGGGCAGCGGCGGAGGCCCTCCTCTCCCCAGCAGCTACGCTGCCTGCCTAACTGCCACTCCCTCCATCTGTCACGCTCCTTGGCTGGCCCTCGTCCCGGCTCTGCCAAGCAAGTCAGGAAAAGCTTTCTGCAAAACTAGAGCGGAGGAGACACGAGGTATTTTGGACCAAATGATCCTTATTTATCTGTTTGATATTTCTCAAAGCACTGTGACACCCACCATCTCACTGGGTGCTCATCACGGCCATGTGCTGCACTGCCTGGCAGATGCCCTCCTCTCTCCGACAGGGACAAGGCCTGGCACGGGCCAGGTGACCAAGAGGAGGGCAGGACCCGAGCCAAGGCCTCCCTCCACGCGTCCCAGTGCCGGGCGCATCGGAGGAGGGCAGGAAATCCCTGCTGGCTGCAGGAGAGATGACTGAATACAAAATAAAGTGGGATCAAAGGAGACCAGAGGCCCAGTCTCTGAATCTTTTTACTTATTTACTTGACGGAGGGTCACCTGCAAGTAGGGGAGCGACAGAGGGAGACAGAATCTTAAGCAGGTTCTACACTCAGCATGGAGCCTGAGGCGGGGCTTGATCTTACCACCGTGAGATCATTTCCTGAACTAAAATCAAGAGCTGGACACTTAACCGACTGAGCCACCCAGGTGCCCCTCTGAATCTTCTTGTAAATCGTTTTTCGTGAAAAACATGTGTGGCACTGACCAGTCAACGAAGAACTCCAAGTAACCTTCATTCGGTTTCTCCAGCTTCGGCGTCCCCATTTCTGCTTTCACTCCCACCAAGATGTCTGTGTGACCCTGCAGGCACAGGCAAGGTGAGTCCTCACGCAGGGCAGGTGGCCAGATACCCAACCACCTCCTTCCTCTCCCAGACTGTGCCCCCGGGGGACTCTTTTAGGAGCAGTGCAGAGGAACTTGTGAAGTGGCCCTTTGGAAAGGTAAAGGGTCCTTCAGATCTAGACAGACACCCTCCCAGAATCTGGCTTGGGTCTTGGATTCACCCCAGAAATAAACATGCTCCAAAGCCCCGAGGGGCCCACAGGACCCGTCCATCCTCCCCCTGGGCGCCGACTGTGGCCACAGTACTCACCAGCTTGACCCTGGCGGACCCACTGGTGTTAGACACCACGTCGGTTTCCACTTCGACACATCGGTAGTCCTCACAGCCACGGCCATCCACGCGGAGGTCTTCCTGAGTGCAACAACCACAATCCTAACATAACCACAACCAAACCACCAAAAGACTCCTAAACTTATTCATACCATTTCCCACCTAGAGAACCAGGCAGTACAACATCCCCTTCCCCCTTAATGAATCATCCAAAACTCGGTCCTTATAGCTGGTAATGATATCCCATTTTACGTAAGAGGAAATGAAGACTTGGAAGTAAAGTGACATGATGGGTGTGATGTAGCCATGACGTAGCCACGTAGCCGAGGTCCCACAGCTGCTGAGAGCAAACTGGGTTTCCACCCAGGTATGTCCCAGTGCAAAGTCCATACCACATCCCACTTTGCCAAACAGGCACACAAAACAAACACAATCGGAACAAGAGATGAAACAAGCTGCCCCTTTCCAGGTCCGCAAGTCCAAAGCCGCACCAGGAAGCACACGTTGTTGGGCCCAGAGTCCAACGGTCCCAGCTGTGGCCCTCCCGCACCCTAACCTGAACAAAATGTACTCTGCAAACAGCTAAAAAACCAAAAAAACACAAAACCACGTGCACTCTCTACCCCAGGCACTCTCTAGAACAGGGACGCACACTTCGGCATGAGGGCCACCTGCTTCTGTAAATCGGCTTGCTGGAGCAGAGCCAGGCCCGTTGGCTGAGGCTGTCCATGCTGCTCTCACGCTGCAACGGCAGAGCTGCGCGGCTGTGACAGAGATCTTAGAACCCATACGCCCCAAATCTTCACTATCTAGCCCGTTACGGAAAAGTCTGCCGACCCCTGCTGCAGAAGATGTGTTTCAGGGTGACCTGCGTCCTGCCTGTCCCGTCCCTGGTTGTTTACTTCCTCCATTATTTACTTCCATCCGTGTATCTCACAGATGCCTGCCTTATGCTGTGACTGTAACCCAGTCCATCCATTACTTATCCTGTTGCTCAAAGCGTTCCAGGCTTGGCAACTGGAATTCCTCTGGGTTGGTTCCTGCATTCTTTCAACACGCCTGCGATCTTTCTCGAGCACATCTTTACTTCTGACGAGACAAGATGTTCCAGTCTCTTGTAGTTTTCCCTGCCCCAGCCCTGGGACCAGCCCTTTCTCTGGGGAGTCCCGGTTCCTTTTATTGAAGAATGGTGCTTTAAAAACCAGGATCTGGGTGCTAAGCAAGTTCACTGCTACTAGGGTGTCATTGCTTTCAGACCTCCTGAGCAGACAGAGCTTGATAACTACATACGGACTTACACTCACCCACACGCACTAACACACACATCTCTCCTATGCACGCAGCTATTAAGAGGCCCTGATAGCTGGTTCTAACCTTCCTCAACCTTCCTCCGTGTCTTATTTGTAACTTCTTTCTCAGACAGGGAGACACCTGGCTCTCATTATCCACAATGTATTTAGGTATTTGTTAAATCTCAGCATACTCATGAAACAGTTTCAGAACTGCTAAGCCATACCCCTGAGAGAAACAAATTTACCAGCGGGGGACAGTACTGGTATAGAGTTCTTTTTGTGTTTAGCCTTACAGTGGCCGCCCAACATCCTGTTTCCCATCGTCTTCCCCCTCCTTCAGTGCGGCTGTTATCCCTTCCTACCCCCGTGAGGGTCATCTGTACCTGCTTGTGCTCCGGCCTGGGTGCCCCACATCCTGGCTACTTTTCATTACTCGTTTACGTTTTGGGTACGTGGACTAGCACCGGGACTCTAGAAGCCAAAGCTATCAGGGAAAGGCAGCTCTGCCCTCAGCCCTATTTGCAAGCCCCCTTTTTTCTGCCTCGTTCCCACCCACCCCAGGCAGGTCATGGTCTATTTAACTGCTGGTTCACAGTTCCTGTATTTCCTTTGCACACATGCACAGATACATGAATAGTTTTTATCCTCTTCTTTCTTAAATGAAGAGTGGCACACTACAGATACTTTTACACTTTGCTTCTGCTTTTTCTTTTTTCTTTTCTTTAACACTTAACACATATGCAGGCGATCACTACACAGCAGCCCATAGAGACCTTCCTCATTCTTTGTGAACATTTTCTTTTTTTTAGATTTTATCTTTAAGTAATCTCTACACCCCCATGGAGCTCCCAACTCAAGACCCTAAAATCAAGAGTTGGATGCTCTTCGGACTGAGCAACCAGGTGCCCCCTTTGTAAACAACTTTTCAAAGCACTTTTTTCCTTTCAGAAAAAGGCTCATTAGCTTATCAGATTCTCAAAGGGGTTAATGCTCCTCAGAATGTTTAAAAACACTGCTCTAAAGTATGTGTCACAAACCTATCTTTAAACTCCCTGGCGAATTGCAGTCTTGAATCTGGGAAGACCTGTACTTGAAATGCAACAGAATTTCAAGTCTAGGAAATGAATTTCCAGGGAGGAGCTAGATACAGTGATCCCTCTTCACCAAGGATCCCAAATCTATGTAACTGTCTCTTAACAACTCCACCCACTGCGGCACAGGAAAGGCTTCCTAGGTCAATCTCTGATGCTCCATCCCCACAGGGTACCCTGCTAGGGAAGCAAAAACAGGACCCAAAAACATCATTTACAAAAGAGTCCTTCTTGAGTTGCAAGTAAGATGCAAGTGGGATCAATCACTCTATTAGTCATGGGCTCCAGACCCTGTCCTGCCACAACTAGCTGCTTGACTGAGGACAAGATGTTCTAGACTAGTTCCCTCCTTTGTTAAAAGAATGGATATTGAATTAGAAGGCCTTGAAGGTGCTGCTCTAATTCTACACACCTATAAATTAAGACAATATTATTTGCAAAAACAAATAATAGCTACTAAGTGAGCCCACCATATATGAAGTGATGCACTAGGAATACTACACAGTTGACACATTTAATTCTCACAATAATCCTATAAGAGAACTTTTTCTCATTCCATTTTACAAATGAGGAAAGAGGCCGAAAGATGCTAAATGGCTGGCCCAATGTCACACAGCCAAAAAGGAGAACTCGAACCCCACGCCAGAGCTCTTAACCACAACAGCACATGGCCTCCTGAATCTTTTCTTTTTTTAAATGTTTTATTTATTTCTGAGAGAGAGAGACACAGCGTGAGAAGGGGAGAGTCATAGAGAGAGGGAGACACAGAATCCGAAACAGGCTCCAGGCTCTGAGCTAGCTGTAAGCACAGAGCCCGACGTGGGGCTCCAACCCACGAACCGTGAGATCATGACCTGAGCCGAAGTCGGACGCCCAACTGAATGAGCCACCCGGGCGCCCTACATGACCTCCTGCATCCTAAAGGGTCTCTTCACTGTGCAACAGGCGCGAGCGAGCACAGGGCTCGCTTGAAGGATGAACTGTGGGCCATACTAGTTGGTCCTAGTGATGAAGAACAGGACTCTGGATGCAGGGAGGCCACAGGGTGATAGGCTTCCCACTATGGCTTTAAAATACCACTTCTCTAGAAAGACCCAGTCACAACCTTTCTTCATGACACCCCCTTGTTCCAGGATGGGACTAGGAGGGGCCAGAAAACTGGGCCTCACCAGGTATTGCCCTTCCTACCTTTAATCTCTGCTCCCTGGGGAAGGCTCTATGGGAAGGGCTCAGGTAACAAAAGAAAAACAAAAAGCTACAAATTTCCTTGTCCAAGGATGCACAGAGTATAATTTTTTTTTTTTTTTTGATAGAAAAAAAGCACTGGGATGCCTGGGTGGCTCAGGTAGTTGAGCATCCAACTATTGATTTTGGCTCAGGTCTTGATACCAGGATCGTGGGACTGAGCACCATGTCAAGCTCCGCACTAAGCATGGGGCCTGCTTTAGATTCTCTCTCCCTCTGAGGTACCTGGGTGATTCAGTTGGTAAGGCAGCTGACTTGATTTCTTTCGGCTTAGGTCACGATCTCTCAGTTCATGAATCTGACCCTTGCTTTGGGCTCTGTGCTGACAGCGTGGAGCCTGCCTGGGATTCTGTGTCTCCCTCTCTCTATGCTCCTCCCCTGCTCAAGCTTGTGTGCTCTCTCAAAATAAACTAAAAAAAAACAAAAAACCACCTCTCTCCCTCTGCCCCTCCCCCACTCAACAGCAAGTAATAAAATATATATATTTATTTAAAAAAAACAATAAAAACATCTAAGAGAACAAGAGAAACACAAACCAAAAAAACCCAAACAAATTAGTTCATGAATCACTGCACCCACGACAACTTTTTTTTTTTTAATACAGCATTCCTCATAAAAGGGCTAAAAATCACCCAAACCTGCTTGGCCTGGCTCAGAGCCAGACTCCCGACCAAAATATTTATTCTCTGGTAGTATTCAGAA